ATATCTATGATTAACACCCTCCACAATAAAAATGATTAATCAATCTCTCATAATTACAAAAAAATGAACAAAATGAAAAATTATGATTGGTTGAATGAGATTTGCACGGTTTGTACAAATTGAGTGGTTTGCATTTGATCGCTCCCGTATATATATATATATATATATATATATACATATATATATTAGAAGGGTACTCGCGCAATATCGCGAGATAAATCTCGATTTTAATGTTTAATTTTTGTATTTTGTCTTTATTGATATAATACGATTTTATGTGGTTTTACGAAAACAATAATGTTTTTATTTTTGAATGAAATATAAATTTGAAGATATCATAAAAATTTGACAAAAATAAATCGATGTTAGTATCAAATTAATTATCGAACAGTTCTCGTTTTTCATGTAACTTCTTTTATTCAATTTTTTGTTATAACATAATTTAGATTTAATAACAAAATAATTTAATTTTGGTTTAATAACATAATTTTTTATAAAGAATAATAATTAAACATTCTGTTACAACTTATTGATTATTTTAATTATATTTTAGATTTTTTATATTTAAAATAAATGTTTATCCTGTATTTGATTATGTTTATCTGCAGTTAGTTACACAAATTTAAAAATGAAGTTTTAATAAACTGTATTTACGTAAAATTACTTATAATCTTAAATTTTAAATAATATATACTAGTAAACAGTAATTCATACATAAAAATGATTTGTAAAAGTTTTATTAAATGATTTATAATATAGTATAGATATATTTATCATAATCGATTGAAGACGCGTAATACCGGCTTTTACATATGGATTTCAGGGCCGGCCGACTTATATTTTTGATATTGATTTTTCTTACGATCTTGTAATACAAGCTTTAAATATATAATATAATAATTTCGTTGTTGATGAATGAAGGAACTGAAGACCATATCCTACCAACATATGTGTAACTTGACATATGGCGACACCAATCTACTCTTATATATAGGAATACACTTTGTCTGCTAATTTCACAGAGATCAGTACTTCACCACCTCCCTCTCTCTCTCTCTCTCTCTAGCTATCTTCCTCTTGCAGATATGGGTATTCAGGGTCAGAGTTTCTCAGTGAAGGTGGTTGACAAGGTGGTGGTGAGTGCAGAAGAATCATGGACTGACCAATGGTTATCCTTTACAAACCTAGACTTGCTTGTCCCACCTTTTAATGTTAGCTCTTTCTTCTGCTACAACAAACCCTCCTATGGGAGTTTCCCCACCATGCTAAACACCCTCAAAGCTTCCTTATCTCAAGCACTCGCACTCTACCCCCCAGTCTCCGGTGATATTGCATGGAACGGTGCTGCCGGCAAGAATCAAATTCACTGCAACAACCAAGGAGTCGATTTCACCCAAGCTTTTGCTGACGTAGAACTCAAGGAACTCAATTTCTACAATCCAGATGAGAGCATCGAGGGTAAACTAATGCCCGAGAAACAACGTGGGGTGTGTGCTACCCAGGTAATTAATCACTGATTTCATATTAAGTTGTTAACCATGCATGCATTAATTAATTTTAAGGATCAAATTAGTAATCGTGATGTGTTATCTTTGTTAATTTCTAACTGCCTTCTAGAACATGATATTCTGAAGGAAGAATCAATTGATTTAACAGCGTGTTGCCCACAAAAAAACATGCAGGTTACAGAGTTAAAATGTGGAGGCATGGTGATAGCGATCAAGTTTGATCATCGGATAGTGGACGGGTACTCAGCTAACCTGTTTATCTCATCATGGGCAGACTTGGCTCGATCTGAAACCCCATCTATGATCCCCTCCTTTGCGAGGTCCCACATGAATCCAAGGTCCCCACCCATTTATTCGTCATCAATTGATGATGTGTTTGTTCCGTATGTACCACAATCCCAACCTGACAATGACCAAAATCACGACCAAGGAGGCGATGTACTCGTTAATCGCATATACTACATTGAGAGCGAGCAACTTAAAACTCTACAGTCGTTGGCAAGTGAAAACGGCCGTAGGAGGTCGAAGCTAGTGGCGTTCACCTCTTTCTTCTGGAAGAAACTTGCATTGAGCATGGAAGACGCCGGAAATCACAACGAGGTGTGTAATGTGGCCGTTGCAGTCGATGGAAGGAGAAGGTTGAGCGAGGGCGATGGAGAAGAGAAAGAAAAACTAATGGATTCTCACTTTGGCAATGTTTTATCTATGCCCTATGGGACGAAAAAGTCACAGGTGATAAGTTTATTCAAGGGTAAAACCCTAAAAACTAATCAAACCCTAAACCCGCAAAAGAAGAGATAGATGATTATGTTTAACCCTAATTCTCTCTTTTCGACATTTCAGGAGTTGAATGAGATGTCATTGAGCAATGTAGCTACGGATGTTCATGAGTTCTTGCAGACTGCCACCGGAAAAGATCATTTCTTGGACCTGATAGATTGGGTGGAAGAACAAGGGCCACGACCGCTGATTTCAAAGGCGTTTGCGAAAGGAGAGATGTCAGTGATGGTGTCAGCGGGACAAAGATTCCATACCATGGACGAGATGGATTTTGGGTGGGGTAAGTTGGCTTTCGGATCATGCCATGTCCCATCTGAAAGGAAGGACTGTTTCGTGATGACAATGGGCAGTCCGATCAACAATGAGGATTGGGTCGTCTATATGCATGTGCCATTGAAACACTTGAACTTCATCGAGGCACATGCTAGTCACGTGTTCAAACCCTTGAATGTTGATTACCTTAAGATTTGATACATATTATGTTTCTAATTTCCAAAAAAACTGTATAATTTTGTTTGCTTATAATGTTGTTGTGTAACTAAGTTTGGTACGTATTATTTGTATTTATTCAAATTAATTTAAAAGTATGTTTATGAATATTGCCCTTAGTTGTGGAGCTATTTTATTTTTATTTTTTAAGTAATTAATGAAAAACAAATTGAGTACGTTTAGATCAATTTTTGAATAAAAACTAATTGATTTATAATATTTTTATTTATTTAAATAATATAAAATTAAACCCACGTAGCAAACCAATTCTTTTGTTAAAGACGAGTAAGCATTCTCAATACAGCCAACATTTGTAATTATAGGCCAAAAAACCAATGAAATAAGTTCGATAACATATTTAGAGGCCGTTTACTAAACGCTTACTTGGTAAGTGTTTACCGAATAAATTTCCTTATCGGATAAACATGACAAGAGCTAAGAATCTTACCCGGTAAAAGCATTGAGAAGGATGGAGAGACTTACCCGGTAAGTGAAGATTACAACTCTTACCCAGTAAATTATTAAATTCAATACGTTTTGATGTAATAAAATCTTACTCATCAAAATAAATTATAGTGTTCATTCCTATAGGTAAGCACTTACCGGGTAAACATTTGGGTAAACAACCCCTTAGTATATAACTTACACAAAGTAAAGTGTTAACCCTAGCTTTGCATTCGAACCTAATTTCAGTCGAGTTTTTAAGTAGAAAATAAGAAACTTTTAAAAAACCCAACCAATTTTCTTATTTTGAATTATTAAGTTCTTAAACTATTTTTCTAAATGAAAAACTATAAATTTTTTCTTTTTAAATGATCAAGTTCTTGAACTATTTTTTTGAATGAAAAAATTATTAATTTTTTTTTATTATGAATGATTAAGGCTATGTTTTCCAAACTAGCTGATAAGCTAACGATAAACAAAAATATGTTTGAAAAAAATTAGCTGATAAGCTAACGATAAACAAAAATATGTTTGAAAAAAACTAGATGATAAAATGGTTGAGAAATATAAAATGATAAAAAAGAACATTTTTAAAACTTAATAACCAAATACATATTTTAGAAAATATCTATATTAAATGATGATTTTAATAACCATTATATATAATATAAATAAAATTGGTTAACCTCACATATCATAATTAGTTAGTAGTTTTTCAAAAACTATAATTAATAACTAAATAAAATA